GGGCTGGAGGACCGCGGGGGCGGGGGGCTTCGGGCTCCGGGGTGACGGCCACCTCAGCCTGCGCCGCAGCCCGGACCTCGGAGCGTTGTGCAGTGTCCAAGACCTGGCAGTCGTAAGGTCTCTCGCCCTCTGGTCTCCAGCTTTTTGACCTGTGCGGGATCGCTGCTCTCCTCTCAGCATTTTTCTTCCTACCCATGATTCGCTTGTGGTGATATCCAGATGTTCACTGAGCGCCTACTGTGCGGCAGGCACTGTTGACGGTATGGGGTACCGCGATGAGCAAACAGGTGAAGTCCCTCGGAGCTCACACCGTAGAGGGGACCCTCAAACGAATGGACAAATGGATGCGTGGTGGGGAAGAAAGCGGCTAAAATGCCCTGGCAGTTAAACGAATTTAAATGGCCCTATTCCTGTTCCTCCAAAATATGTACTGTAACCCGCCCCCCTCTAGTTTCCCTCTTGCCTTCTTGTTTGGTCCTGTACTAGGCAAAACTTTACCCAGAGCTGGGGTTATAGCCAGGTGACTCAGTTACTACATACTCTCTCAGATGGGGTATGATATGGTCACCAGACGTCTCCCACAGCCCTTCTGGGGCTTACTAGAGGTCTCCAAGGTCTGGGCTGCTTTTGGAAATGGCCATTCATTCAAACAGCACAGCAGGCTCAGTGGTAGGCTGGGAATACAATGGTGGGGAAGGAGGCCAAATCAAGGCTTCTCCAGGAGCTTCTAATTTGGTAGCAGGACAGAATCTGCTGAAACTTTCTTTTGTTGTTGTTGTTGTTGTTGTTGTTGTTGTTGTTGTTGTTGTTGTTTTCCTGTGGTTCTAGGGAGTCAAATCCAAGACCTCACTCTTGTTAACGCTGTATCACGGAAATATGCCACCCTCACCCCATCCCTAGAGAGGTAGCATCACACTGGCAAAAATACAAACGATGTTAAGGGCTATAAAAAGAACTACAGAGGGTGTGTGCAGCTGAGAGGGGAATTTACTGTGGGGATAAACATGGCTGGGAGGTCACTTAACTTTTCCTTGAAGTCTTGAAGAAATAGTTGAAGAATTGATAAGAGCAAATGTGTGCACTGGAATGGCATGTACAAGGGCCCTGGGATGATAGAGGAGTGGAAAGGAGACCAACAGGGATGTAAAGCTGGAAAAGAATTAGAAAGAGGCTGGAGAACAGGCTAGGTCTTTCATAGGAAATGTTAGGATAATGTGGAAATAATGGAAACTAATATTTCCAGGGCTTTTCTAACAAATTGCCATTTTATGGCTCAGAACAGATATTTACTCTCTTACAATTCTAGAGGCCAGAAGTCAGAAATAAGGTGTCCACTGGGCCATATTCCCCCCATGAAAGGACTAAAAGAGAATCCTTCCTTGCTTCTGCCAGCCTGTGATTGTCCTAGGCATTCCTTGGTTGTGGCTGCATAACTCACCTCCTCCTTTGTCTTCATATGGTCTCCTCTGTGTTTTCTCTTCTGTCTCTTATAAGCACATTTATTGTTGAATTTGGGCCCTCCCTGGTTAATCTACAATCAATCTCATCTTGAAATCCTTAATTACACCTGCAAAAACCTTTCGTTCCAGATAGGGTCACAGACCAGGAGTTATATCTCTTTTTTAAAAAATGTCTCCAGTCCTGCCATCTTCAGCGCCAGAGGGTCTTCTCGGCTGTGCCCGCTCCTGCAGGCTGCATCTGACATCTTCACCGCCAGAGGGTCTTTTTGGCCTTGCCCTCCCGGGCTGTGTTCTGACATCTTCAGCGCCAGAGGGTCTTCTCGGCCGGGCCCTCCCCTGCTGGCACCGCTGCCACCATCAGTGCTAGAAAGGTAGCCACGCGGGCACCCCTGAACCCCCCCAACCTTCCCCCTTGGGCTTTTAGACCTCCAGATTGTACCAGTCTTTGGACCTACTCTGTAGAGGCAGAGATGGTCATAAAGAGTATTTTCTGGCACTTTCAACTTTGAACATCTTTAAAGAAGTGGTGGGGGAAACTTATAGTAGAACTGAGTGGAGTTCAACCCTTTAGGAGGTCGGGGAACTCGGTCTGGGCCTTGCAGCCCGAGCTCAGTCTGCTTTGTGGGGTTCTGCCACCAGCTAGCTGAGATCAGGAGACTCGGCTCTGCAAATGGCAGCACATATTGTATATTATGACAGCAGTGATATAGTCTGAAAGAGGCCCTTTAAACTCATTTTTGTTTCTTTCTTTTTTTATCCTACTCTGCAAAATCTTTTTTTTTTTTCTGTTTTCTTTCTCTAACTCAGTCTCTTACTCCACTATAGTATCCCTCATCTCTCTTTTTGTTTCTGCTCTTGTCCTAATTCAGATTTCTTCTTTTATTATTTTTTTCTCTTTTCTTTATGTTCTTTTATGTTATTCTTCCTCACTCAAGGGTTATTATACTTCTATTTTATCTGTTCTTTTTGAATTTAACAATTTCCTGACGATTGTCTGGTCATTCTACATCTTTTGACTTCATATGAAACCTTCTCTAATTCTTATACTTGTCTACTCCTCTAGTCTTAACTTTGTTTTAAGCCCCCATTGTAAATGGTAAATATCCTTATTGAAAAGTTTATTTACTGTAAGCATATTTTGGATTGCTTCTTGATCTTAATTAAATTTACATGGTTTGAAGGTGATAGATTGATGACTACCATAAGTGGTCAATTTGCAAATTGTGCTTCATTATATTGTGGTGCTGATTGTATCAATTAGGATAAAGGATTG